TTTCTTTCGTTTTTTTTGTTAAATGATCCATCATCCATTCTGAAATTTGATGATTTAACGGTGTTGTTGACTTACATATGTATATCTGTGTGTGTGCACATTTTCAGGTGGTGTTTGGCTCCATTGTTCTCCTGATGCTTTGGCTTCCTATAAGAATCATCAAGCTGCTGTTCCCAAACTTTCTTCCCTACAATGTCATGCTTTATAGGTACAGAGTAAACATTTGAAATTCTGAAAACTATTGATGACCCCAAACTGCAGAGTTTACGTTTGTTTTTGTTTTTTTTTTTGTTTTTTTTCCTAAGTCACTGTAAAAAGACCCCTGGGTGCTACTTGCAGTCAGTCAACCATGTTCTGTTCTGCATACCAAATATTCTAACAGCTAAATGTTATTACAATAACGCTTTTGATCTGATAAATGTCATTGTTTTAAATGTCTGTGAAGGTTCTCAGTCATCCAGGTCATTGTTTAAAATGTACTGTGATGATCTTAATGACTGTAGTCTAATCATAATGGATACGATAATGAGTCGGTCTGAATTGAGGAGCAGTGTCTACAGTTTTCATCACAGACGTCTAACATAACATGAAAACTAGAGTTTAGTTATAACTGCAGTTCCTATTTTGATTAACTATATTAAAGAAACCATATAATCCAGTTACATTTTCAAGAACATGATTTGGGATCTAGCGCTTGACATAATTTAAAATGCACATTATCTTTGTCTTTAAAGCACTTAAACTGTGGAAATGGGAAATCTGTAGAAAATGAACTGCTCAAAGGTCGTGATGTGTACATTGTGAAGTGAAACGAGTTTGGTTTGTGTTCTTCCTCTGCAGTGACGCCCCGGTCAGTGAGCTGTCGTTGGAGCTGCTGCTGCTTCAGGTGGTTCTGCCAGCACTGTTGGAGCAGGGCCACACTCGCCAGTGGCTCAAGCGCCTCATCCACGCCTGGACGTTCACAGCTGGATATGTGCTGTAGGCTGGAGATGCACACACTCGCACACACTGCCAATTTAAATCTGAAGCACCAATTTGACTTTTTATGATGACCTTTGGCTGTGGTAATTTGGAGAAATGAAACAACGAGACATGCAAAGAGACCACGGTGTGTGTTAGTTTTTGTCTTCAGTCTCATACACTGTAATAAAAGACTGCATTTGCTCAAATGGCTCTCCCACAGTGATCTTCACTCCTACCTGCTGGGAGACCATGAAGAAGATGACAACCAACAAAATAACCATCCTGGTCGCGTTAACAACAACCGGATCCCGGGCCTCGGGGAAGGGCTTCACGCTGCCCATCAGGCCATTCTGCAGCAGGGTGGCCCCGTTGGTTTCCAGCCGTACCACCGGCCCATCAACTTCCCCATGAAGGTTGGTGCTAGAGCTGGGCGATAGAACGATAACGATATGTATCGCGATATAACTTTTACTCGATAGAGAAATTAAGCTATCGCGATAGACCTCGCCGCTCTTGTTCTCTTAAAAAAAAAAAAAAAAGGTCAGCCGATCCAAATTCAGTAGCGCAGAGCCGAACCAATCACAGCCGCAGCTTCACGTCGCGTGACTTGTTACGTACAGCACAAGTGCCAAGCCGCACGTGTGTTTGTTTGGGAAGCAGCCAGCGGTAATGGAGGAAATGAGTGTGCCGACTAGAAAAATCAACCGAGCGTGACCGAAGAGAAAACAGATGATGGTTCCAATGCCGGAGAGATTGTCGAACGGAAGAGCCATAGAAGTTCCGTAGTGTGAAGGTATTTCGGCTATTTCAAGTCTGACAAAAAACAGAGTAGCGTGCACTGTAAATTGTGCCGAAAGCAAGTCTGGAAATACAATAAACTGGTGCATGCGTCACACTGTGCGCCACGTTATTGTTTCGGTGAAATGAATTTCTACAATACTGTTACTGTTAATTCTACTCTCTGCAGTGTTTAAATGCTTACATATACACACAGTTACTGTCCGTCTACACATACGACTCGGTTCTGCTTCTATGCCCCAGCTTTGTTTACTTTTTCCCACCGAGGCTTCTAGACTTCTGATTGGCCAACATTTCGGCACGGTTAGGAATCTAGCGCCACCTGCTGCTTTGGCATGTTCATAGCAGCGTTTTCCTTCATTTCTGCTTTTATGTGTGGACGGGATTATTTTTTAAAACTAAAACGGAAAATCTCCGTTTTCAAAAATACCCGTGTACGTGTGGACGTAGCCTCAGTCTCTGACTGGAAGCGCTAATTCGTCATTCAGCTTTTGTCAGACTAAAGTAACTGTTAAAACTGTTTGAAAAGCTAAGCTATACAACAAGGAGAGATTGAGAATTCCCTTTTAGTTCTCAGTTTATTTGATATTGACAAAAGTTAGTCAGTTTTGTCTGTTCTTCTGTAAAACAAACTAAGATTTATTTTTAGAATTAATATTTTGTTTCTAAGTGGAATTGACAATTTAGTCTGTTTCGTTTGTTCTATTTTTAAACTTAAACGCTTTAGCGGCTGCCTTTTGTGTAGTTTGCAATATTTGCCTTTATTTATCTGAAAAAGTCTCATGTTCCTTAAGTACATCTACCCTGTTGAACTTATTATGGGAAATAAATATTTAAATCAAAACAAGCTGCTGATTATTTCACATTTTACTTGTGAGCAACGGCACATTTAAATCTTACAAATAGTTATTTGGCTTATATCGTGATGGATATCGTTATCGCCTGAAATGAAAAAAACATATCGTGATATGGAAAAATCTCATATCGCCCAGCTCTAGTTGGTGCTCATCGCAAGAGTCCTGTCACTTTTGAAGCCTCTGCTCATATTGAATGTTAACCGTTTTGTGTTTCCTCTTGTTCAGATCATTCTGTTGGTTGTCTTCATGTGTGTCACACTGTTATTAGCAAGTCTGATCTGCCTCACACTGCCAGGTAAGATGCAAGCAGGCAAATTATCTCGTGTACATCAGCGGTCCCCAACCTTTTTTACGCCAACAATATTTTCATGGACCGGCCTTTAAGGTGTCGCGGATAAATACAACAAAATAAAACTAGTACCGTTACCGAAAAAAAGGTTTATTCATAACACACGTGAGAAGACCCAGGAAAACAGAGTAAACGATAACAAAATAACGCTGAAAACCGATTTAAAAACCCTGAAAACTATACATTTCACACCTGAGCCTCAACTCTCGCGGCCCGGTACCAAACGACTCGCGTACCGGTCCGAGGCCCGGTGGTTGGGGACCGCTGGTGTACATGATGTCTCCTGGCCCTAGTTTTCAGCTAGTCGTTTTTTTTGGGGTTTTTTTTTTTTTTTTTTTTTCCCCCCCCTCCACCTTCTCCTCCTTCTCTCTCAGTGTTCGTGGGTCGTTGGTTGATGTCCTTCTGGATGGGCAGCGCCATGGTTCATGAGCTGTACACAGCAGCCAGCGGTCTATACGTCTGCTGGCTGTCCATTCGAGCTGCCACGGTGTTGCTGTCTTGGATGCCACAGGGACGGACAGTCATCATGCTCAAAGTCCACGAGTGGACGCTCATGGTAATGTGGATTTCTGTCCCACCGACTGCAAATATATCATTTCTCAGCTGTTCTGTGGCAAGTTGTATTCTGATTTATGGATTGGGTGTGATGTCCTGATGGGAACAGATCCTTAAGACGGTGGTGGTAGCCCTGCTGTTAGCTGCGGTAATTCCTCTGCTGTTGGGTCTGCTGTTTGAGCTGGTCATTGTTGCTCCTCTCAGAGTGCCACTAGACCAGACGCCTCTCTTCTACCCCTGGCAGGTAGGAACACTTACGTGAATAAATTTCTAAATGGTGAACTAAATTGTTACTTCTTGGATTTAGTTACTGCATTATTTTTATTCTTCTCAACCATTTTATTTTCTTGTTAATGCTGCTTGTGATGTTAAATGAATTGATCTAATCACAACAACAAATCAACACCTTGTGTCCGTTTTGAAGATGTTGGCATGTCAACATTAGAATCATTCACGTGATGATATTTTGCGATGGTGTCTTTGTGTCCTGGTTATGTACTGACTCTTTGTGTGACAGGACTGGGCGTTGGGTGTGCTTCATGCTAAAATCATCGCTGCTATAACACTGATGGGCCCTCAATGGTGGCTTAAAACCGTTATTGAGCAGGTCAGTCTTGCATTCTTCAAAGTTGCAGTCAAAATAACGAATAAACACTTAAACAATGCAGATGAGAAATGTGCAAAAATGTCAGTATCATCAAACTGATAAAATCCTGTTTTCCCACACTGGATTGAAGGAACTAATCTCCCTCTCTCCCTCCTTCCTTTCTGCAGGTGTATGCTAACGGCATCAGAAATATTGACCTCCATTTCATTGTGCGTAGGCTGGCTGCCCCAGTCATCTGTGTGTTGCTGCTATGTCTCTGTTTGCCCTACACAGTCTCTAAAGGTGTTACACCACTGTTAGGTATGTTGCTTGAAATGTCTGTCTTTCAGGGATGTATGGATATTCTTGTACCTTAGTGTACACAACAAAGATCACTTTTTAGTGTTTGGAGGACTGATTTCTGGTGTATTCATGTTTCTGGTAAAGTTTTCCTTCTGTAATTGGAATAGGAGATGGCCTAATGGGGGAAAAAAAATTATACCCCCTCTCTAAGATTTTAATATCAATTGTGTTGGGAGACTGCAAGATGGTGTGTGTGGTGAGAATCTACTACACAAATGTGTTCAAAGGAAGTGGTTCGTGATGAATAAAGTGTGAAACTCAGGGAATTGAAGAAAGTAAACAGGAGCATTGCATTGAGAATGAGGTGACACAGGAAAAGGCTTATAGTGAGTTATGTCAAGCTGGACACTAAGGAAAGAGAAAAGCACTTGCATCGACTGGCTAGTCAAAGGGAGCAAGCTAGATCGATCAAGCAGCAGGTCAGGATAATTCGGGATGCAGATGGAAAGAGTACAAAGAGAGGGAGACCAAAACCACTGGAGGGTTTATTTAAAAAAAAAACAAACAAACAAAAAAAACCAAACACAATCTTGGAGAGTGAGAGGAACCCTGAAGAATGGAGAAGTGTACTTGTCCTGAATTTTTTTTCTTTTTTCTTTTTTTTTTTTTTTCAAGAACAAGGCTGATGTGCACAACTGTAGTAACTAAAGAGGAATCAAGTTGATAAGCCACACTGTGAGGCTGTGGGAGAGAGATGCTGAAGCTGGGTTAAGAAGCAGGAGTTCAATTCAATTTTATTTATATAGCGCCAAATCACAACAAAAGTTGCCTCAAGGCGCTTCATAGATACAGAGAAAAACCCAACAATCATATGACCCCCTATGAGCAAGCACTTTGGCAACAGTGGGAAGGAAAAACTCCCTTTTAACAGGAAGAAACCTCCGGCAGAACCAGGCTCAGGGAGGGGCGGCCATCTGCTGCGACCGGTTGGGGTGAGAGAAGGAAGACAGGATAAAAGACATGCTGTGGAAGTATGGCTTCATGCTGAGAAAGAGCATTACAGGTGTGCTGTTTGCTTTGAAAGGGGGACTGGCTAGTCGACTGGGCGATCGTGGCTCAAGAGTTGGGAGTTCGCCTTGTAATCGGAATCATTGTGTCCTTGGGCAAGACACTTCACCCGTTGCCTACTGGTGGTGGTCAGAGGGCCCGGTGGCGCCAGTGTCCGGCAGCCTCGCCTCTGTCAGTGCGCCCCAGGGTGGCTGTGGCTACAATGTAGCTGTGTGTGTGAATGGGTGGATGACTGGATATGTAAAGCGGTTTGGGGTCCTTAGGGACTAGTAAAGCGCTATATAAATACAGGCCATTTACCATTTGAAAGTGTTGCTGAAGAAGTACAGAGAAGGTCAGAAGTTACACTGTGTCTTTGTGCATCCAGAGAAAGCATATGATAAGGTACGAAGAGAGGAACTGTGGGAGTGCATCAGGGTGGTGCAGTACATGAGGACAGCAATTCAGTGGTAGATTTGAGGGACTATTTTTGCAGACCACATTGCGATCTGTACTGAGAGTAGGGAACAGGTGGAGGGAGAGAGGTACAAAATGCATAGAAGGTGAAGGTAGAAGATTTCAGAATAACTGAAGTCAATACAAAGCTTTGGACGGTGCAGAACACTGCAGGCAGGGTGGAGAGTGTGCAGACGAATGTGAGGGGTGATTTGTGACAGAAGGATGGCAGGAAGAGTGAAAGGGAGACCTGCTGTAACAGGGGGTGTCAAACTCCAGGCCTCGAGGGCCGGTGTCCTGCAGGTTTTAGATATCACCCTGGGTCAACACACCTGAATCAAATGATTAGTTCATTACCTGGTTTCTGGAGAACTTCAAGACATGTTGAGGAGGTCATTTAGCCATATGTGTTGGATCAAGGACACATCTAAAACCTGAAGGACACCGGCCCTTGAGGCCTGTAGTTCCCCCACACCTGTACTAGACGAAGGAATACAGGAAGAACTCATAAGTGTCATGGCTGTAGTTAAGGATTCCACCTTAACTACAGAGGGTTGGTGTGACAGATGAGGATGCTGGGTAGATGGAAGCAGAGTGGGGGCTTCTAAGGGGAACAGCCAAAACCTTTACAGTCAGTCTGTGCAGTACAGATGAACAGGTTTCTTTGTTTGTTTACATTATGTGGTATTTCTTATAATTCTCTGTAATACAAGAAAATGAACTTATGGCCAAATTGTGTAACTTAAACATAATTATTATTTTATGATTATTAGTAATGAACTGTCATTTTCCCTAGATATAATAGCATTTGAAATAGCAGTGATCCATAAAGTAGACCTATTATACTCATTCTTGGACTCGGCTAGAGTAGCTTTAGATGATTCACAGTTCAAGATGTACTCAGAAGTTAAATAAAGGTCATCAGAGGGACAGCTTTAGTGTAGCCCCTCAGTTCATCCTCTAGTCTAAAATGAGCCCTTCTAACTTTTCTTTCTTTAAGGCCTCTGCCTATAACACAACTTTTGCTGATACTCAAAATTTAGAGCAGACTGAGCCTCTGAACTTTGAGAATGAAAATTAATGTTGTTGGTTGTTGATTAAATTAGAAACTGATCAAAATTCAGGCACAGAGGCCAGGGTACCGGCAGAGCCTCACTAATTTAGACAGGGTGCATTTAAAATCTGCTTTTTATGCAAAGCCTATTAAAAGGTAGCTGTGGTTTAAACAGGGATTTCTGATGTTCACACAGACAACACATGCATTTAAACAACCTGTCATTAAGAATTCCCAGTCCTCTCCTGGGAATAAACTGTTAGCTGTTCTCTAAGCAGCTGATTGGTTTAGTCTTTCCTCAATGTTTACTCTTGACAAATGTTAAGTGACTTGCTCTCTGGCACTTACCTCACCTTCTCTGTTATAGCCCATCAATTCCTGAAGACGACCCAAACAGCAGCTCCTGTTTCACTGCTTGTTCTCTCTCTCTCTGTATGTAGGAGTACAACCAGAGATGCAGACACTTGTGGAGAGGAGAATCTATCCGTTCCTGCTCATGGTCTTCATCCTATTGGCCATCCTGTCGTTTCAGATACGACAGTTCAAACGCCTCTACGAACACATCAAAAATGACAAGTGAGTAGTGGTGATACTTTTTTTTTTTTTTTTTAAATTGTATACACGGGGGGGGGGCTCGGTGTTCTAGTAGGATTCAGAGAAAATCCAGTAGCAGAACCTTGGTGTGGAAACACGATTCCATTTATGTTTGTCAAATATTGACAGGAAAAAGGTTTGGTCAGGGTCATGTTTGAATTCATTGATGCGTATTCGCGCTCTGATCAGTAAAGCTGGTCAGTAATTCTGAAGGAGAGAGTAGGGAGGTGTGAGCGACACAGAAGTTTATTTTCCAAGAAGACAACTTTTAAGGCCTCAGTTACATTGGCTTGGAGACTGGTTACCACTGGTAACCATAGCAACCACTGTTTACTACAGAAAAATGAACATTGGCAAGTGGTCGTGGGACATTGCTTGCTGTCGTTAGATGAAATCGGTCTCACAGGACTGCACATAAAACCTCCCTGTGATCGCTTTTGTTGTGAGCAGATTTCCGCTGTTCTGCATGCCACCTGTCTGCAAACAGTCTTACATGAACCACAAATGGAGGCCGTTGGTCTTCAAGTCAAACCTTTTACTTTAAAGTCGCCATGAAAAAAAAAAAAAATTTTTTATAGTGGTTCATTTTTTTTTATTTTGCCTAAAATACTTCAACATAAAATTAAACAGTGTAAAATGTCTGCACGGCTTCCAGGGTTGTCCCTACTAGCGTGTTAGTGCAGTTGTAGCTCTGCAGTGGGAATACGAGGAAAGATCTTAGCTAGTCAGTGGTGTGCCCTTCCATGCTGCTCTTTAAATTGTTTGCAAAGCTAACAAATAAGCTAACTGTTTCCATCCCTCCTGCAGGTACCTGGTTGGACAGCGACTGGTGAACTATGAACGTAAGGCGGGCAGGAGCGTGTCCTCCTACAGCACCTCCTCATAGACTGAACCGTGCTGTGGAATCAGTGGAGCATACTCACACTAGCCCATCACCAGTAGCCACCATCAACGTATTGTGATGAAACCTCTTTTGTTTTCTTCCTGCTCGGCTGTCGGCTGCACTGTTTACAGGCTGCGTTTGAAGCAGAGTCCTTTAATTCGGCCCGACACACCGCAGTCACAGGGACAGGTTAGAGAGGGAAGGCAGACGGATCCTGATCACCAAACCTGCAGAAGCTGTCAGAGTGACTGAAACTCGTCAACTGTCCATCCTGGTAAACGTTCATGTCCAACGCAGCTGAAGTTTTCATTTGTATTTCACTTGTTTTTAAAAGGCTTTGTGTTGAAGTCAGCTTTTTTTACCTCAGACTGTGCTTCCCTTTGAGTGAATGTTGTAAAGTAGTGTCTGGGTCACTTTGTTTAGACCTGTACATAACCACAACAAGAATCCCTCTCTGTTCCTGTGTGCATCAACAAGTTTTCCTCACCTTCCTTTATCAGAATGAAGTAGTCAGTGATGAGGAGAGACATGAATGACGTAGCAATGTGATTGTATTATTTTTATTTATTTTTTTTTTTTTAAGTGGTTTTTATTAGATGTGTGCGTTCATATATTTTTAGCCTTGTATATTTCTTGAGTGAGCTGGTAGATAACCCTTTGAGAATTAGAAAAAATGAAAATTGCATTTCTTTATGGCCACACTCGCCAAGGACGGGCTCCTGTGGTTTGTTTTTGGAGGCATGGGCCTGTAAGTTTGGACATCAGTCTGGTTTTTACCCTGTCGTTTGTTGACGTTGTATTTGGTTGATTTTCTAAACCTGAGAATAGAAAAAGTCACAGCACAGAACAAATGAGTTTTCAGCTCTCTCCATTAAATTTTAAAGGTTTTTCACACCCAAACAGTACGGGAGCACAGCAGGTGGTTGAGCTCATTTCTGCAAATGCCTCCATCGATGAGCAGAGGATAACACACAGGCAAACTGTTTACACTATGGCTGCCACCGGCTGCTTTGCAAGTGACGTGACTGCATTTCTTTATGTTAAATCCCTGGACTGGGCTTTTTTACATACCCTGCAGTCTGATTGGAAAAGGTTTCAGCAGAGAAGTAGGACATAACTGGAGGCAAAATGTTCTTCCCAGCTTAATTTGGACTGACTGTTGTGGGTTTTTTTTTTTGTGTTTTTTATGTTTGTTTGTTTTTAGTACATCACTCTTAGAGGGACTTAGAGATGACAGAGCTGGCAGTGCTGCTAATCAGCTACTCACACTAACCTGAAAATCAGCTGTATAAAATAAGAAACATGACTAATGAACTGAACTGGAAAACTCAAGCACCCCTCACACAGAGCCAGCTTGTGTCGGTGCTTTATTTACTTCCTGATTTACTTGCTCTGATTAATCATGTAATTGCTGTGACTTGCTAAGCTCAGTCAGGGTGTTACTTGTAACTAAATTGATTTGATGTGCTACGTCTTGACCTAATGCTGGCTTCACATTAAACTTTTGTCTATATTTGTAGGGTAGATGGAAATGGGCTCGTTGCGTTGTCTGATGTGTTTTGTGTCTCCACTGAGAGACGGGTGCAGCTTGCCCAACTGACTGTCACTGCAGGACCTGCAAAGCAGGAATTGCTGATGGTGTATCCATAGATTCTTAGGGTTTTGTTTTTTTTGGGGTTTTTTTGCCCCATCACTGCAGTGTCCCTACAATTGTGCTCCTGTTGGTTAGTGTACCGCGGAGTGAGACAATTGGTTAAAGACAGTGTCGTTTGTTTACGGAAAAGTCTTCACAGCACAACTGAGGGTGTAGGGTACCAAATCTTTTAGGTTACTGAGACGAGCTTTGATGAAGCTGAGAGTTTTCTGCATCCCTGATTTAAAATGAGTTAACCTACCTACAAAGTAGTTTTTAGCTTAGCTGCTACTAAATATTATTAGGACTTCAAGGTGTTACTGTTGCATAGTTAACATTAAGTAGAGCAGTTTGTGGTGAAGTAAAAGAGGGGTTTGGTTTTTTTTGGGGGTTTTTTTCCCCCCGGAACATGATAAATATGCTAGCTTCTCTGGCAGAAGAGGAGAGAACAAATGAGCTGAAACTGACCCACATTCATGTCTTCACCTGCTCACAGGTCCTTAAGGTGATTTCAGAGGGCGAAACGGATTATTCTCTGCGCACTCATGTAAGAAATTCACTGTTAATTGAAAATAAGCCTTGAATAGCAGGAAGCTGGAAGAAGGTGGCTCGTCCTCGATTATGTAACACTAACATTCACCTGTGGTTGTTCTTGTGTCCTGCATACTTAGCATTGGCATGCATGAAATGAGCAGACTGTATCTGTAAACCAGCATAAGTACTGCAAAGAAACTGTCTTAAATAGAAATGAGAAGTTTGAATGACACCTGCATGATGCTGATTTTTGTATCTGTGAAACTAGTTTGCAATTTTACAATTTTAAGGAGTAGTTGAACATTCTTTGATGGGCTGGTTTCATGAGAACATTGATACCACAGTAAAGTCAGAGAGTAGTGAAACTGTTAGCTTTAAGTCAAATGGCAACAGACGCCACCCACTGCACCTGTAGTTAATGACTGATTAATAAATTAATTGTACAATTTTTCAGTTTCACAAACTGGAACAAGTCACAAAAATGACTTTTATGAAAAAGCCAACATGTTCCATGTAATCTCCTTGGATTTTCTTAGATCACTATACGTGTTGACTAAGTGCAGTGACGTCTGAAGACTGTAGGAGGTATTCTCCTGTAACATGTGGCCTAAATGTGAAGAATCGTTTCCCCAGAGTCACATTTCACTTTCTACAGATAGCTATACTCACTGTGCATGTGGAAAAGTCATTGTCTGAGATTTGTCCTCCCACTGTCTTACTTGTGTGACCACATTGTTTCGCTGTGCTGCCCAGCATTTCTCCTTTCACATGACAGAGTTGTGATGTGTCCTATGTGTAGATCCAGAACGAAAGCAGACAATTGGGTTTTAGAAAAGATTTATTTTCACTGAGTGAAACGAGCTCCGGCTATTTTCTGAATCATTTTTGTTACTAATGAGAACATAAAACGAATTTTATTTTAAGCGACTTGATTTGGTAACTACTTATTTTTTTATGCAAATGTTTTAATGTTTTGCACCTTGTACCACACTTTGCAATCATTTCAGAATCCACTGTAACACAGTCATGCGAGCTCCATTTATTTTAGCCCCAATGAGACTGAAATGTGTCCGTATCTAACTTCCCCAACACACTGAATTATTAGTGTAATGAGTACAAACTGCTTTTCTATCGATTGTGAATGACATCAATTTTAGTGCTACTTTAGCTGTAGTCCTACTGCTGTGTGGAGTGCTCAACTTATATAAATATATGATGCTATAAAGTGACCTTTTTAGTCTTTCAACTGAGCTGGACACTTTGAATTTTAGTGTTGAATTTTTAGAAGAATTTATTTCTATTTTTATATGTGGAAAAAGGCAGTGGCATGTACTGTAACATAAAGATGTATACTTAAAGCTCTGATTGTTGGTTCAGTCATATGAAACATAATAAATGCTTGAAAAGATTCCTCAAGATTGCTGTTTGTTCAAGTTGTGGCCAATGTCTCCTTTAAACAAATGTTTAGTCTGGGACCCAAGCTACATGTGAAGTCCTTAAAGACACTTAACCTCTTTTTCCAATAGGTGTTAAACTTGTCGCACTGCCAACAGGCCCAGACAGGCCGGGATGTGTTTGAGTTCTAGAGATCACAGGGGTCAAGGGGTGAATCTGATACCTAACAGGTGTCTTCACCCATCGCAGATGGAAGAGTTACTGTACACTTTCTTGGAGAACAGTAGGAGTGATTTCCTGAAGGGTTCTTTATGGCAGTGCGCTCTGCTGCCTCCGTAGTGTCGAGTGGGAGAGATGGGTTGTCCATGATGGAGAGCAGTTTGTTCAGTGACCTCCTGCCCCTCAAAGACTTGAACGCATCCAAATTCTGACCAATGATGGTTTCAGCCTTGGGAAACAGGAGACAGCTGAAGTGCTGTCACTGATCCCGAGGAGCTTCTCATTCAGCAAAAGTGATTAGATGATGTTAAAGGCACTGGAAAAAACAATTAATTTCATTTAGATTTTTTTTAGTGCCAACTCACAAGGCACTTTAAATTTCATTTTAAAGAGCCTTACGACTATCCAGAGAAAAACCCCAACAATCAGATGAGACTTGGTGACAATGGGAAGGAAAAACTTTTAACAGTTAAAACTTCTGGCAGAACCAGGCCCCACAATCACCTCCTCACTCCTGCTTTTCCTTCTCTCATGTTGCCTCCAAACACACCTTCACCTCCCCTCTTCCTTTGTCTTTGGCCAACAGTTTCCACCGGCACTCTAGTGATGATTGTTAACCCGAGCCCCAACCGATCTGGTATGGAAATCTCATTCTTCTTCATCCGCATGTTTGGTTTGGCAAAGATTTTATGCCAGATGCCCTCCCTAACACAACCCTCCCCATTTATCTGGGCACTAGGAGTATACAGGCTTGTGGCCTCCCATGTGGTAATGTTATGTTAGAATTCATATTTTGGTATGAAGACTCATTGCTGAAGAAACCCTTGTTCCAATCAGAGGGGTGGCTAAGTCATGTTATATGAGTACCCCTGCACGTTTCATGGTGCTACTTTGTGGAAACATGCAGGTGTTCTAAATATTTATTCACATAAATTTATTTCATAATTAAAACAACATCAATCACATACGTGAGTGTCAGCAGTTCAGAACAGTCTAATTCCAAACTGGAATGATGTCTAAGGAAAAAAAAACGGCTACAAAATAGGATATGGGGTTATTTCTGCCAAATCCAATTACCTTTGTGCTAATGCACAGTCTTAACAGGTAGCCCAAATACAGATTAGGAGCATATGCAGTGGAAACCTGATCTGTGCTGTCAAGCTAAATCTGATTTTCCCAACCTGTGCTTCATTTTTTAACAAGCACAATGGGCTCAACGTTTTTATGCCGATTAAATCATGGAGTAAGCGGCTGTGGTTCAGAAGAGATTAGCACTGTCAAAAAAAACATTTCCTTTTCTGCTCTATTGTAAAACCTTCAGACTTCAGGCAGAAAACAAGTGTAAGGTTTCTCTGACAGATTTCTACTTTGCATAACAATAATTTCAGACTTGGAGAAAAAAGTATTATGCTCATTGGAAATTAAAACCGTTAACAGATGGATTTAACAGCTACAGATTAATGTTCCTGTGCCTGATAGAATTTCAGCTAACTAAACTTTATCCTAATAATAGCTAATAATGTTACCTGCCTGAGGTACTGTAACCTACTTGGCAAAGATTGGACCATGTGGATTTAATCCCAAGCTGTCTGATACAGATGTCCAGATTGTAACAAAGTATACTGATCTACAAACTGGTAACAAATAAACAAAATTTAACAAAAGACGTTTCACTGTGTGGTATAATTTTGTGTTTATTCCTTTATTTATCAATTCAGTTCAGTTCAATTCAATTTTATTTATACAGCGCTTTATATTGTAAGGTAGAGCGTAATACATACAGAGAAAAACCCAACAATTATATGACCGCCTATGAGCAAGCACTTTGGCAACAGGGGAGGAAAAACTCCCTTTTAAAAGGAAGAAACCTCCGGCAGAACCAGGCTCAGGGAGGGGCAGGGCCATCTGCTGCGACTGGTTGGGGAGAAAGAAGGAAGACAGGATATAAGACATGCTGTGGAAGAGATTACTATAAGTGTACAAGAGCTAGCTAAATGGCAATTTTTCAGCCGTTAACTTGTTGATATTTCCAGCCACTTACAACTGCCGATAAGAAAAGTTTTGGATTAACAAAATTTTAAAAAAGTTCACAGCCATACCAAAATGCATGCTAATCAGTATGCTTGATTGAAAAATCTAGTTAATCAAATCCATTTATTCAAAATCGGATTTTTTAAAATAGAAATGGCTTGGATCACATGACTTACAAAACCAAGCCTATAACTTAACAACCACCTCTAGACGTTTAGATTTTCCCCCTGTAATGCTATTTTTGATACACCTTTACACTTGAATGCTGGTATCACAAGGTGATGTGAATAAAGTGTATTGTATCAAACTAGGCTGTAGCTTAGTTGTTGTTGAAGGTGACATTCGTAAACTCTCTTAGGCCTGAGTGATTCCAGTCCTTCCAAAGTGCCCTGTATACAAATGAGATCATGTGGCTGAGAAATCCAATTTAAGCTGGCAGTGTTAAGTGCAGAAGACGTTGAGAGCAGAGGTGGGGGAGATGGCGTCAGCTTGACCAGCTGCACTTGTGACACTTATTTTAAGTATAACATCTGCTACATTTATTTTCCATATGGTTTGTCTTACGTGCTTTCAGTAGCCTTTCTTGTGGAAATAAAAGAGTAATGCTTATTTTGTTCTATTAAGAAGAAACCTAATTGTTAAAATTATTGAGTTTCAACAGTCCTTTCTACTTGTGCTTGTCAGTTTTAGTTTATTGTGATGAAACAGAAGACGTTTCTGGGGAGGTGAATGTAACCAAATGGCTAGAGCTAGAGAGAAATCTAATTGGATTACCACGCAGTACTTCAACAGAATCTCTCTCCCGATCCCACTGCTGGCGATCATCAAAGAAAACCCAGTGTTCCCCCGTGAGCAAACACGGGATTAACTGCTCAGTTGTGTCAGTTTTGAACCAATACGACCGCGCTGATTCTTCTGCTTTCAAAAAGACAACTTTAGCTTTAACTTCTAACCGAGACTTGGAAAATTCAAGCTGCATGTTGGATTTCCAGTGCAATGATCATACAATCTGATGAACGGGGCTGGTGGTGCCTTTGCAAAGAGTCACACGGAGAAGCGCAGTGGCTTTCGTGCATTTCATAATTTTCTCTGACTTTTTTTGAAAATGGAAATTTCATCAGAGAAAGATTAGGATGCTTTATTCTGCTTTACTCTTTTTTTCATCACTTTAACAGCCCAGAGCAACTGATCATGCACACGATCAAGCCTTTGATGACACTGTGTTTTGGAGTCTTCGGGAATCCTAACCTCTTTGGCACCGACAAAGACTTATCAGTAGTGATAAAGGATTGTCCTTGTTCGTTTGGGAAATCCAACGCAGCAAAAAACTGATGGAAGTCGGGAAACTGGCAGGATTGAGTTTCCTGGGGGGTAGAAGGAATCATCATATTTCAGAGAGCCAATGGACTCCAAGGTAATTGAGAATTCCTAGATTTCTTCTGGCTCCCACAAGGATTTTCGAAGAGTGTTTTGGACGGAGGAGGATTTAAATGGTGCTAATAACGGAGGAACAAGGTAAAGGTTCAAAGGTTCAAGAGAATGGAGTGGCTGGAGGAGTCAGAATTAGTAAGACTGAGTATAGAACCAATAAAGTGGATATGGATATTCCTGTCATGTCCATCACCAAGGCTGGCAAAGACGACGATGAGAGCGAGGAATCAAGCGAGGCAGATAATGAGGAACTTGAAATCGATTACACTCGAAATTACTGGGAGGATGAGGATGATATCTACCAGGAATTTGAAGAGTTGGACTTTGAGACCTTGCCCGATCGCTCAGACACACAGAGCATTGCCTCAGATGACTCCTTCTATCCCCTCGACAATTCAGTCACCTCTCACATGCGCTACTCGTTTAGCTCTGACAGTCCAGAGCCCATCTCCTTCTTCAAGGCCTGCTGCAACAACAATGCCGTCATTGTCAAGATCATGATCAGACAAGGAGTGACTGAAGAGGAAGTGAAGGAGACGGACAGAAACAGAAGAGTTGGTATCTGTGCATTTATTAGAATAATGTCTTTGACAAAGTCTCACGCACCTTTTTATTCATAAATAATGTTTTTTTATGAAGAAATTAATGGCAGTACAAATGCAAAACTGCGCTGCTGTCTTTCAACGTCATTAGTACAGTTGTGTTCATAAATACCTTTGCTTCTGTACATGTAATGTGTCAGTAGGTCTTACCTTGGTCTCGACTTAACTTTACGAACAATAACAAAACCATATTTAGGTAGACTGCTTGATTTTAAAAAAAAGCATCTATTAAAAGTGCCTGGGTGGTTTGATAACCACCCAGGCACTTTTAATAGATAGTCTTCAAAACAACATATAAGAATATGCTTACAAGATATGCGATGACTCGTGACAGCTGTGCAGCACTGAGGTTACGGTCATAATTCAGTTGTATACAGATATGATAGAACTTTGACAAACATTTATGCAAGCACACCATTCACTGTGTCAGATTACACACCTCAAGCAATTTTAAATTTAAATAATTTGAAAGTGCAAAACAAAATATTACACACCTGTGATTTTCTTATGACACCCTTTATGCCTGCTTTGAGTAAAAGAATGCTATCATCATCCTGCTCTATCACTGATATCTGGTTTTTCTGTCAGGTCAGCTGAGCATGGTCCAGCTCTTAAAACCCAGTAAGACACTGAAGGTCAGATCCTAAAGGAGGTTCAGAGCAGTTGGTTAAGCCTTCAGTGACAGATGGGCCAGTGCAGTTACTGTGTCACAATGCAGCTTGCCAACCTTGCCCAACCTTTTAAAGGCTTACTATAGAAACTGGCCCTACTCATAGCTTATTAAAGCTAATCAAATAACACCTTAATAATGAACAATATTTGAAACAATTTAGTTACTAATGAATTGCTAAAACCATGAAATAACCATGAAATTTATACCTTTTCATTCTTGATAGATGTCTGACTTATAGTTTAAGTTCTTGCCAATATCTCACCTACAGGTGAGGTGAGGATCTTTTTTTAAACCCGGTTACTATCTCTTGGTCATTTTTAGACATCCCACTTCCAGTGAATCACTTCCACTTTACACCACAATTACTTCAGTTTCTTTGATTTTCTTTGTTGTTTTAGTGGCCAATGCTCACACACACCTGTGAATTTAGAACAACTAATTCACAAACACATGCTAAATGGTAAGAACCATAGAGGCCGCAATGTTGTTGTTTTCCATATTTAGATGAAAAGGTGGAATGCTAATTTCACCTGTTTGCTTAGCAAGCTGCACACACATATTGGCTAATTAGTGCAAAGACCCTGCCTAACTACACAGACACAAACTACTACTGCACAAACTACAGTACTAGTAGGCGATTTGACCAGCTGCACTTGTGACACTTATTTTAAGTATAACATCTGCTACATTTATTTTCCATATGGTTTGTCTTACGTGCTTTCAATAGCCTTTCTTGTGGAAATAAAAGAGTAATGCTTATTTTGTTAAGATAAGATAAGATAAGATAAGATAACCTTTATTAG